TAGCGTGACATTGCCCTTCGCCGTCACCTGTCATCTCATCCAGCCTCAAACCCTGGACTTTCAGTGGCATTCTGTGACAGTCTGGACCAATCACAGCACCCCCTCATGGTCAGTTTTGTGGGGATTCGCCTGCGCAACGAAGGGTGGCAGGTCCACCTGTAAGAGCTGTGATTTGAACAGCCTATAAAACAGAGAGGATGGATCATAAAAGTCGAAATATTAAGAACAGATGGAGACGCATCGACCTCAAATGGATTGTCGCATCCAACTTGCTTTTCATATAGTCGCTGATCCAAGAGTTTTTCTGAACAATCCAGATGAACGGCAGCCAAAGACGCGTGGCTCGCCCTCTCGCTGTTTAATTCTGGATCCAGAGCGGAAGCTTCTCGCCGGGGAACGAGGCGAACTTTCAACACCTCGTTCTTCCGTTCTGTGGACCCGAGCTCTCTCTATTTGTTTATCTTGTAGAGGTTGTTTATTTTTTGTATCATTTCAAGATGTTGAGAACGAGCCCCTAGCGATGCTGGGGGTCAAATATCGCAAATATATGTGTAGCATGAAAAGAGATTCCCGAAGAAACACACAAACTTCAGTGTTGAGAACTTCAACGTTTTAGTATTGAGTTTCATCATATGTCTGATGGGAAGAAGAAAAAAAACGTCACCATAGACATCGTAAAACACTGACAGTAAATATAAAAGAGGGCCGCCATGATGGAGATACAAGGTAAAGTATCACGCCGACCCATTCGGGCTGAATTATGGGAGGTAAATGCATATCAATCGCCAAATCTGCCGCATGGACGTATCCCTTTAGAACCCAAGACAATGTGTTACATTAGTATGGTTTAGTCTCTCGATGAACCCACCCAGCCAAACGTTCGGTTGCATCGCCAACTGAACCGAAGAAGGACCGCAGATGTTTCTGAAGCCTCAGTGCGTCATTCCGTGTGCCACCACTGTGGATTTGGGGTGCCATCTTACACCTCGCAAGCTTCATTCCCATGTCTCTGATGGCTCTGTAGTTCATGGGATCTAATTAGCGGAGCTAATTAAAAAGGAGGGAGTTCAGTTTGGTCTGAGACCAGGAGACATGTAGTCTTTTACCGTGTCTTAACCAAGTGCGACAAATTTTCCTATTCGCTCCAAATGCGAAAAGAAAACGCTACGTAGCGCGAAAAACACATCTAGTCAGAACGTATTAGATGTGTAATAAACAGCAATGTGCGTTTTTGGACCATTAACATGTAACTATAAGTGGGGCTAAGTAACCTACCCGTAAATGTGGATTTGGGATTAATTGGATGTAATTATGGGTGGGGCTACATACATGTCAATGTAAATTTTAGACCAATGAGATATACTTATGGAGGGGGCTATATATATATATATATATATACAGTATATATATGTAAATGTGGATTTTGGACCAATAAGACGTAATTATGGGCGGGGCTACCTAGCATTTTTTTCATTTACTTTTTTGACGCACATTCCTGGTGCAAGATTTCGGTTATTCGCCGATTTTGATATTGGGTATTTGCCTGTTTATCTTTTTAGATTTCTCTTGTTGTCATCTAACTCACTCAAAGTTAATCTTAAATAATTTAATAACACTATTAAATGTGATCTTTGGCTAACCTCACAAAGAATATGATTTTTTCATACTATACATTCTAATATTGTGATGCCTAAATTCACTTTTTTTATTTTTTTTTATTTTTTAAGTGTTTTATTTTTTTATTTATTTAAAGTAAATGTAATGGTGATCGCATGTAACGTGAACTTTAAATTCCAGTCACTTTTGGTTTATCGTTCGACACTCAAACCTGGTTAAGACACGGTTAAGGTTCAGCTGGGAGGTGAGGAAAAGGGGTGTTTTTAAATGATATGGGCATGATCAGGGTCTCTCTAGCATGAATGGGTGGGACCCAGTTGTATGGGGCAGAGTGCCTTACTGGCAGGAAAAAGAGCAGTATGAATTATGCATTTTACATAAAAAAATAGAAACATCTTAAAGGGTTAGTTCACCCAAAAATGAAAATTACGTCATTAATTACTCACCCCCATGCTGTACCAACCCCGTAAGACCTTCGTTCGTCTTCGGAACACAAATGAAGATATTTTTTTATTACATTTGAGAGGTGGATCACTGATGCATAAACATTTTCTTCAATGACTTTCTGGGCCGTCAAGTTTCAATCCTTTAGGAGCCTATGTGGCTGTGATCCAGCTCTCAAATTTAATCAAAAATATCTTCGAAGACGAACGAAGGTCATACGCGGTTGGTACAACATGGGGGTGAGTAATTAATGACTTAATTTTCATTTTGGGGTGAACTAACCCTTTAAGAGCTGATCTTTTGTTTTCACCTTTGATTTCAGGGTGACAAATTTTCCGATTTTTTTCTGATCTCGTGAAAATATTTTGTTAGTGAAAATGTATAAAGATCAAAAATTCTGATCTGGCACATGTGGACAGCGTTATGAGAAAATAAGGAGATAATATATCAAGATTTTGTGTTTGTTGTGGCAAACACTGTTTTATCCAAACCTCTGTCATTCTGACCTTTTCAATAGAGGGAGGAGACTGTGTGTTAATGCGTTTCATACGGTGATAGTGATCAACAGAAACATTTACAGTGATTGAATCTCAGTATGGAGGGAGGGTTCGATGCCATGCAGTGTTTCACCTCTTTTTGTATTCATTTAATTGTGAAATTGTCTTATGCTGCTCAGCACCTGTCATTCTGATCGCAGGCTGATAACTGTGCCAATTCAGTTGTTTTTGAGGTATGTGGAATGTATTTCCGGATTTTCAAGCGGTTTCTTGAACTATAGGATATCCTGAAACTGCATCCAGAGATGTATTAAAAATATTGCATATCAATTTAAGCTTATCACATTCCTACTTCTCAACACTGCAAAAAAAAAATTATAATAATTTTGTCTGGTTTTCCTGTAACATTTTCTAAACATCCTTAAAACAAGTTTAAGGAATAGTTCACCTAAAAATTAAAATTATCCTATAATTTACCATAAAGCCACCCTAGCTGTATATAACTTTCTTCTTTCAGCTAAACACAATCTGAGTTATTTTCAAAAAATACCCTGGCTCTTCCAAGCTTTATAATGGGAGTGAATGGTAACTGAGATTTTGAAGCCCAAAAAAGCGCATTCATCCATCATAAAAGTAATCCACATGGCTCCAGGGGTTAATAAAGGCCTTCTGAAGAAAAAAAAAATCAGTAACACTTTACTTGAAGGGGTGTGCATAAGACTAACATGACACCTTCATAATCATGACATATGTTATGAATATGAATGAAGTTTTATGCGTGTTTGTGACAACTGTCATTAAGTGTCATTCGCTCAGTTATGACTTTTTGAGATGTCATTGTTATGACACCTTGACATAAACCAATACATCATAACCTGTCAGTGTCTTTGACATGATAACTTGACATTACTAAGACAACACAACCTGTCATAAACATGACATAGCAGATTAATTATCAAACTTAAGAAACCACCTAGCTTTATTGGTTAACTTTACATTAAACTGTCAGGTGGTTGGTTTTGACATTCGCTGTCATGAGGCCATTATAACTTTTTAATGACAAATTCAATTAGCACCACATGACAATTTAACTTCATTTTATGTCAAGTTGTCATGACAAAGACACTGACAGGTTATTATGTTATGGTTTTTGTCAAGATGTCATAACAAAGACTTCTTAAACAATGTCATATTTGCATTCAAAATGTCATTATTGAGCGAATTACACTTAATGACAGTTGTCATAAACATACATAAACCCTACTTCATATTCATAACATATGTCATGTCATGATTATGAAGGTGTCATGTCTGTCTTATGCACACCCCTTCAAGTAAAGTGTTACCGTTTTGGGTAAATACCGTCGAAATGCGTAAATAAATTAAAAAAAAATAATAACTTGAGTACAAACCTCACTAAATTTGGTTACTTTTATGCTTAAAATAAGAAAAAAAACTATTTGCTAGTGGTGTAAGAAAAATAAGCCTATTTCAAGATCAAGTAGATTCATCTTATTTTAAGGATGTTTAGATGTTTGATGGAAAACAAGAGTGAAATAATGAATCAAAAGTTTTTTTTTTTTTGCAGTGGAAACAAGATAGTGTATATTAGTAATGTGTGCCACAATAAAATGCTCCCTGTTCATATCTCCCTGATGATTTTTGTAGCTAGCACATAATATCTGTAGTCTCCATTGATTCCATCATCGGGTGCAGTGTGCTAGAATAAACAAACTGCTGTTTACATGGAGAGACAGACTGCGAGAAACGCTGAAGGAAAAGGTAGATGCATTTATTGCACAGCTCATAGCTTTTACTGTTTGAAGCTGTATCCTGCCTGCTGTGAAAATAAGACAAAAAAAAAAAAGCATTTTATATTACGGAAGAAAATATTGAATCTGGGAAAGATGGCACGTACCGCTGCCCATTCAGATCAATATCACTGTCTAGTGTTAGATGTGTATTTACCTTGTACAGCTGTACTCCTATAAATATGGTTTAATGTATTATTGATAGTTTCAAAGACTAAGTGATCAAATATTTTTATGAAATGCAACAGTACGGATATAATAAATTTTGCTAAAATCTTGTTTACCTGTATGATATTCTGATATACTGTTAAATAAACTCTGACAAGGTCTAAAGTTCTTTTTATAGTTCTGGTTATACTCTGGTTGTGTGAGCAGTTATTGATCGTACTGAAAAATAATTACAACGTACTTGACACTTGAATATTTATGTATGATATGTGTGTGTGTGTGTTTATATTTAGTCAAACACACTACTATGGTGTTCCTATACAAGTGTGTTTGACCTATTGATTCAACAAGGTGCTGAAAGCATTGTTTAGAAATGTTTTCTTGTGAAATAATAACCATATATTGTTCTCCAGACCACAAGGTGGCACACACACAACATTCATTATCTTAAAAACAGCCAAAGAAGAATTTAAAAATAATATTTCTTGGCTGGTTCGGTACAAATGAATCGTAAACAACACAATGTCCGAAAAGCACCGACACCTTCCACTCTGGATGGTGAAATCTGACGTTGAATGCAGTAAAGATAAAGAAGTGGAAAAGAAGAAATCACATAAAACCTCAACAAAGAGAACGAGGAAGCGACGGAGGTAGAAACACCTTTAAGAACTATGATTTATTAATAATAATGCGAACGGACGTTTCATGAAAAATTGTTTTCGCCCAATGTCTTTCTCAGTGTCGTCACGTACTGGATGAACGAGAGGGAGCTCGTGGAAACAGCGCTCAGCATTTTGAAGGATGATAAGGTAAAAGGATTTTGACTCATAATAAATGAATTATTTATGGCACATGACACAGACCTATTAATATTTCTCTTATGAATCAGTCATCATGTGCTAGAGATGCAATGCAGGCCCCGGAGGAGGTAATGCTCATTCCAGAGACAGATGAAGAAACTGGTGACTCGGATGTACAGGACAGGACACACGTTTCAAACATTGCCGAGCAAGAGACTGTACCATATGGACACTGCATGGAAGAAAGTACCAGTACAAAACCAGACTGCCATTTAAAACCTTCTCCTGATGCTTCAGGAACTCCAGAGAATACTGGCGTGGATGATGAGGCTCTTGAGCTAGTTCGAGAGATTTTTTTCACATAATTTAAGCCTAAAGTACACAAAAGTTTTGTTACAGATCATTTGAGCGACTATTTTAAGAGATGGGCTAATTAATCATTTACTAACCCTCATGTCTGGCTTACTTTCTTATGTGGGACTAAAAAAAGAAGATAATTTGAAGAATATCCCAGTTGCTCTTTTCCATAGTTCAAGCAATCGGGGACTTGGAGCTTTCAACTTTCAAAAAGTGACAAGTGAGTCGCCATAACCACTTTTATAATCCATTTTTAGTCTTTTTGGAGCTTGACAGCTTTCTAATGAATTATGATAAACTAACAAAGTATTATCGTGTAGGAAACAGTTGAACATTCTTCAAAAGTTCTCTTTTGTGTTGCCTAGAACAAAGGAAGTCATTAATGGGATGGGAATGACATGAAAGTGAGTACATTACATTTTTATTATTATCTCTTTTCACACTGTTATTGTAATCTAGTGATGATTTGTATGGTCTGTTTGTGATGTGCTGGTAACAAGGTTGATGTTTGAACAAAGGTCATTTCTAAACCAATTTTTGGTATTTGCACACATGCGCTTTCTTGGGTCTTTTGGGAAAGAAAGCAAATGAGAATGTTTAATTACATGCAAGAATAAATTGTATATGTATTCGTTTGAATTAAAACCCGAGCCGACTAACCTCAGGTTTACATCCTTCAAGAGGAGCCTAATGTAAGTTTACGAGGACAAACTATAAAGTCAAGATTTTATTTTGCTGCTCAGGAGACAAGAACAGACAGGGTGACGCTCAAAAACAAAATCACAGGTGTGCAGGTGCACAAGAAAGTGTTTTTATTTGGACTCTCAGAAGACACGCTGAATAATAGGGAAGAAAACGTCCCAATCCTGGGGAATGTCATGTTGAAATTTATAAACTAAGCAAAATACACCAACAGGACTGGACGTGACTGTAATTTATGATTTGCCTTTTCTGATTTAATTACAGCAGGGACACTAATCAAACTAGAAAAGGCTTTAGCTCAAGAGTCTGCATCAACAGTGTGATCTATAATCATGTAAATATAATGCGGGAAATGATTTAGTACATCAGAACAAATGCTTATGCTTTATGCAAAACATACTTTTAAATGAATTATTTCACACAATCGCTTAAAATGCATATGAATAGAAAATAATCGATCTTTCCTGAGGTGGAGATCTCAGCTCTGACTGGGAACAATCATTACAAACATCCCAGCCAGATGCTAATACTGTCGTGAATGGGTCGTGTCTGAAATGTGCATATTTTAAGATTGTATGAAAAGCCAGTTCGCCCGAGACTAAATTGTCAGATAGTCAGATCTGCACTTTTTAAAGAGAGTATTTCATGCAAACGAAGACGATCAAATTATAATTTAAATGCCTGTATTTAGAAATATTTTAATAAAAATATAAGATGTTTTCATGAATGCAGTAACATTAACAAGCTTTTATGCAAGAATCTTTTTGCAAGAAAGAAAAAAAAAGCTGTCCAATCATTTAAATTCATCGATTTTTGCACCAATCTAAATTTTCTGTATAATGTTTATTGTGTCAGTGCAGTTGGGTCTTTACAGTAACACATGACAGTCAACCTCAATATCATGTATTAACTGAATCGATCTTAAAAAACGTGGTGAGTAGAAGAGCCCGGCTATTGTTCGGCGTTCTCAGAAAGAAGTGGCGTCAGGCTGTTCATGTGGCCATCAAAAACACTCATCTAAAGACAAAAGACAACAAGAGTCAATGCTCAGTTCCAAACATTTTAAAAAAAATTCTGCGTAAAACCCCCCAGCTCCTACTTACAGTCTTTGGCTTGTAAACGCCTAGTTTAAACCGACAGCAGACCACGTCTACGCAGAAGCCAACCAGACCATGTAGCATTCCTGCAGAAACAAATCACAATCATGGAATCATTTCAAATGACATATGTTTGATTAGCAGATATCTTTCCATTTACCTGTTGTTGAGAAAATGCCTCCTATGATGCCACAAAGGCGCACGAGGAACTGCCATAGGGGCATGTGCTGCTCTGTCACCTTTACCATCAGAGAGCTGATGTCATACTTCATAAAGATCCCCGAAACCCCATGACTCCCCGCTGCGTGGTTTATCACTCGCTCCTAAAGAAAAGAGAGTTCAAATGTGGCATCAGTGATCATACTTAGCAATGCTATGCACTTTTTAAAATTCAACTTTGTAAAATATTGCAAATCATGTCAGTTTGATTTGTAACTTTACTTAAAACAACAGATGGTTATGAAAATGTATTATGAAGCCGTCTGTACCCGTTCAGTGACTGAATACTGGTGTGTGTCCGCTGACAACTTGTATGTCTGCAGTTTTGTGGGCACAATGGTAATAAAGTACTGGAACATCTGATTATCTAGCAAAAAAATAAGACAGGGTAATCAAAAATTTTACTTTCGATTATATTGTCGATCTGACTACTTAATTAAAGGAAAAAATATAATGAATTCGAACATTTCTAAAATGTTCAGAATTTTGGACCCCTTTAAATGTTTTGAATTTTGATAAATAATTGTTTATACTGTATTTATGCTAATCCATTAAGTTTATATATATATATATATATATATATATATAAACACACAAAGAGGTGAAACTCGAAAAAATTAGAATATCGTGCAAAAGTTCATGTATTTCAGTAATTCAACTTAAAAGATAAAACTAATATATTATATAGACTCATTACATGCAAAGTGAGATATTTTAAGCCTTTATTAGTTTCACCTTTTAAGTTGAATTAATGAAATAAAGGAACGTTTGCATGATATTCAAATTTTTCGAGTTTCACCTATATATATATGTGTGTGTGTGTGTGTATATATAGGTGAAACTCAAAAAAAATTTGAATATCATGCAAAAGTTCCATATATATATATATATATATATATATACACTGATAATATAATTTGAATACAAATTTAATTGAATTAGAAAAATGCAAAAATATATATTTTAAATTATAAAATTTTTGATAAATGTTAAAATCACTTACGATCTGCGGACACTTTTTCTGTGCCATCTAGTGGATTTAATATGCCTGGTATTTCCTCTCCAAATGACAGATGGTCTATCCGATGGGAGAAGTTGTATGCTAAAAAATTAAACAGTCCTACTTATTAGAGAACTGACCTTTTGGACATGAATCTTAAGATACCTTTTCCTTTTTTTAGTGGAACAGATGTTGCCTTCTACTCTAGATGCAAAAGCACTGGATACGTTTAGCATAGAAGGAGCCATTCAGAAAATATCTGGAGCACCAAAACCCACTTCCAGAACATGCATATAAACAAACTAAGTTAAGGTCTGAAGAAGCTCTTCAGCTTACTCTCATGGCTGACCAGGGCCGCTAGATGAGCATGACCTCGAGGGTGGGGGATGGCCCTGAAATAAACAAATAAGAATAAATACATTTCAGTCTTATTCGATTGAATGGGCTCTTCAACTGACATTCAAACTAAAAGTAAGTTTGCAGTACTTAAAAAGCCAAAATGTGATTGGATGCAAAAAACAGAATGAAACGAAACATACTTGCCAACAGTGATGTGGAAATTTCCTGCTACTTTATTAACATAGAGGTGTCCATGAATCCGGCAGGAATTTAGAGGCTGTGTGGGGTCATCTTCCCTACACGGTCAACAAAAAAATCACATACTCCTTAAAGTCACTATGAAATCAAAATGAATTTTGCAGTATTTATTATAAATGGTTTATCTGTGCACATTTTATTATTCATGTGCCTTCTTTATTTAAAATAACTTCCCCTCCCTCTTGCAGTTCCATCTCTTCTACGATGATGCGTTTACTGGAAAAAGGGTGGGACAACCTTATGTGTCACATTATGTCTACAACCAATAGCAAACCACAACCATCCAATCGATTCCCGATGGACAAAATCAAGCCCCGGCTGACATACATATGTCACAATTGGAAATAAAAGACTATCAAAACTTCCATTTCATGCCGACTTTACGTTTGACGTGGTGTAATACGTTCTCGTACAGGTGTCGTATGTTCTGACCTGGGTGGGAGAGCAGTGGGGGCGCCTTTCATGACATTCTTGAACAGAACATCTTGGAGTGAATGTTCCTCACGCAGATGTTCCTGAATGAGCAAAAGTGTTCTGAGGGACAGGAAAAGGATTTTTCTTTTAATAATTACATCTTTATATTGACAAATATATGACATTACAATTGTGTCCTAAGGTCACAGTTGACAGGAACCACTTTGGAGGTTGAAAATGTAGTCGGTATAAACAAGTAAAAATAAATGTACCTGTGCCAGATTCTCTGCTGAGGAGAAAGGTCAAAAACAACCTGCGAAAGAGTCATAAATATGTTACGGCACTGCTATTAAAATATACTAGGAAATAAGTAACATTCAGATACTCACGGGTTCATACTGCAGGCCGTCAGATGCCACCATCGTCTCAGCGAGATCCAATACATCTGCACCAACAACTGAAACAAAAATGTTTAAAGATTATTGACAAATTTATGTTGTCAATAATCATACAACACATGACTATAGAAAGATTTACTTACATTGGCACCTCATGGCAACTGTAATATCAATATTAATTCGTAGTTTGCTGCAAGATTAAATAAAATGTTAGTGTTTTTAATGCATATCTATATTATATGCAGATACAAAATAACAATTTACTGCCATGTTAAAGAGTCACCTAGTAAAATCTTTATCCACTTCATACTCGTACTTCATCCATGTATCCCTATACACAAAGAACTCAAAGAAGGCCAAGAGTGCCATCGCCGTGAAGGCCAACACAGACACTGAGAAAGAAAAATTTAAGATGTTTCAATAGATCTATTTATCTATAAACATTAACTAAAGTTAAATAAACATTTTTTTTCAGCAATTTCACAATGGAACATTTCTCATTTTGATTTAGTATAACTTGATGAACTAAAAAAAATAATAAAATAAAAAGTCATTAAAAATATATTTACTTTTAAAATACGTTAAGAACTCAAGAATATTAAGAACTCATTCAAAATGTTTATTTTATTCAAAAATAAAACTAACAGTATCTCAACTACTACTGTACTAACTATACCATATTACTACTTATACAAACAAATAAATAACGCGTGTATTTATGTACGTTAGTCTCTTTAAACCAACCACCCTTTTGATAAATGAAATCTCAGCTTATCTAACCGGTTCCTCCACTGGCTGTTGTCTCCACATAACTCTCAGGAACCTTGGGAAAAGCATCCAACTCCTTTACAAAGTTCAGGGCTTTCTTCTTGTTCAGCCTCCTCATCGTCACAGCAGTTAGCTGTAATCTTCCACATGAATTTAGGCTGCAATTCATCATTTGTACGTCAAGAATTGCACATTTATGAGCAGTAATTACAATAACTTTCTATGTTATTAGCATACAATGCTAAATATACGAAACGTTTAAATACATATAAGATTGTAATCATTTTTCAAAGTGAATTTATTTCAACAATTTGTTTGTGAAGGCTCGTTTATTTCAGTTGTCTATGGTTACTGTGTTAGCCACTGCTAGCCGTGCACTTGTCTGGCTTGCCATTTTCATTAATCCGTTCTCTACTTACCTCGAAATGCTATTTAAAGTGGCTCATTGCTTTAAAAATAGATTGTTTAGCTAAATAATTCTTTACATTGAGCGTTTAGTGAAATAACGGACAGACACGTAGAGGGCTAAGTAGAGGTACGCGACGCTGATGAGCTGAAGTCGCGAGCTTCCGGTCCGGTGAATTATGGGAAATGTAGTTATTTTACTGTAATAAAAATACGTGGAAAAGTGGGTGGATTAGGAATAGAATACTAGCGTACTACTAGTACCATTTCTATTGTTATGTCTTAGTAAATAAATAGTAAGATTAGTAGACAGTTCAGAATTTAGAGTAAAATCCAAGTAAACAGAGTCTAATTAAAATAAAAATCTGACAGTCACAGTTACAAAGCTTTTATTCATGACAAGCATTTCTGAATCAAAAAATAATAATACTAGATAATAACTATTGCGGTTTTGAACATGAAATATTACACAGCACCAGGTAAACATGTCTGTATTTAATTGTATCATAATCATCTTTGGAATTGTTTTATCTGCACAAAATAGTTAAAATTAATTTTCAAGGCTATTACCACAGCAGTCATTTAAATATATGCAACAGAAAACTGAAAATAACACCAAATTAGTAGCACAATTTTACACAGTAAACATTAAATTGTAGACTTGCATCATTAAGTGGCATCTGGATGAAATTTAAATGTCAGCTGAATCTGGACCCTCGTCCCGTAACACTGCCGGTTCGTGACTGTCAGAGGTTGGTGTGCCGGTGTTCTCTTGAGAGGGGTCTTCGGAACAGCAGCTAATGGTGGGTGATATCACATCAGGGCTTGTGTCACATGACTCTGTGCTCTGCTCGGACGTTGCAGTGGTGGTGATGGTGGTGGCCACACTGGGGGGGATGGGGTCAAACTCATCATCATCATCCTCCAGGTTGGAACATTCATTGATGTCTTTTGGAAACAAAGTGTTTGATTATACAACACTAGCAAAACTATTAAAAAAAAAAAAAAAGGAAAATGTTTACATTATACACTACTTTTTAAATGCTTGGGTACTTAAAAAGATACAAAATACAGTAAATTCGTACTTGCTGAATAAAAGTATTAATGTCTTTATAGAAGTCTTATTAAACCAAATTTTTTAACTAATAACTGATATTATTTTTTTTATTTGATATTAAATTGTAAATATAAATTTCTGTACTTTTTAAGATTATTTTGTCATCATTTAGATGTGAATTAAAGAAAGAACACTAGATTAATTCTAACTAAGTAATTAACTAACTCATAAGATTTAAGATTGAACTTATTTTAACATGGCCAAAAATCTATTGACTTAAGTTGTGTTTTACTTCTTTATTTACTTTTTTTAATATCATATATGTGTCGGTTAAATTCCATTACATAATTACCAAGAAAATAATCATTGCCACAGTGTTAATCGTAGTGTATCACAATATAAAATAATGCACATTAACTTACTGCTAAAGGCCTCTGGATATTGTTTCGCAACCTTGCCTTTTAAAGTCCTGAGGAAACAGAAAATCATCTAAGGAAATTGTTACACCATACGTTGTAATATTACTATTAAACATGTTATACAACATATTTCAGACATTATTTGAACTTTCTACTTCAACAATTTGGCCAGGACAACCCAGCTAGAATGTATTAATGTTATCATAAGCAAAAGCTTGCCTGTAATGGATGTAAAGAAATGTGCACATCAGATCTTAGTTGTCCAACATTACCCTAATTCAACGTATTGTTAGTGGATGTAATACCTTATTCGTCTGAAGATGCTGTCCAAATCTTTCTTCATCTCTATTAATGTACGGGTGTGCATTAGAAAGTGTTCATTCATCTGCTGTAAGCGCACATTGGACAGCCCATTAAAGTTGATCAGCATCTCATTGGTCTTCTCAAACCGGTCCAGCCTGGAAGACATGCAACAAAATCAGATTAAAAAACAAGTACAAAATGCTGCCTAGGTAGGTCACTCACTAGATAGGGAAACCCACATATGTCTCTGAGCTTGAATGATGGCGTTCACATCCTCAGAGTTCACCATGCTGAGCATCCTGTTACAGAATATTCCCGATGCGGTGGGCTCCATGATGCCGCTTTTCACAAAAACACAAGATATTAACGTTACTAATTAATCAAATTAGTAGAGTACAGTACAACTAGCTACAGTCGCTTACGTAGAAAAATATTCACTATCTGACTCAGTTGGTTTAAAATAAGTCTTAATTTGATGCCAGCTTCGCAGTAGGTTTGACGCAAATGCACACGCTCTTTTGATATTTTTGTGAAACGATTAAAGAATTTACCGCAGCGAAAAGCAGGCAGACATTTTTGTTGTGATATTGTCACATGATCACATGATAGTGAGGTAATGTGGGAGGCGGGATCACGGGGGATTTCTAAGCGTTGATTGGCTCTCCCGAAAGAGCGCCGTGTTTGATTTTTATTAAAACCAGGAATAATTTTGTTTTATATTATTTATTAAACAACAATAAAAACACTGTTTAACACACTAGTTAGTTATTTCTCAACATTATTTGTGTCAAAATTATGTTTGTGGTCTAATTAAAATTCCATGAAATATGTATCTCTCATGAAATATTATAAAGCGTTTATTCATATTTCATTCATAATTTTACCGGTCTATAATGACAAAATATGTATACATTTCAAGTAAAATTATCACAGTTTATACAGTCACTTTTGTGGAGTGTGTGTATAAATTTGTAATATAATTAATATTTAAGGCTGAAATGGGTGTATTTAATTTCACCCATTTAAGGCTGTCAAAGGCTTATCTAAAAATATTACATGTTGGATATATATATTATTATATCATTAAATAATAGCATTTTATAAATTGTAATAAATAACGACAATTGCCAATTATAATTACATTAATAGTATTATTAAATTAAACAATATTCCCCGTCAGGTGCTTTTGTTTATATTTTAAGGGAAGAAAAAAAAGGCTTATATATTTTTTTTTTCTTCCCTTAAAATATGAACAATATAATTGATAATTGTCGTTGTTTATCACAATTCATAAAATGCTATTATTTAATGATAAAATAACAGTAATTAAATCAAATAATACAACAATATAATTAAATAATAATTCGGATTTATAAAACAAGATTATAAATATGAATGAATAATAATAATAATGCTTATTGTGAGATTTTTAAGTTTATCAACTCAATGTACTTTGGCGGTTGTCCGGTAAGTGGCAGTAAACACAGATTCAAAACTGATCCTCGATCATATAGTGAATCGTCAAAGAAGAAGCCGTTAGCGCAGTCGAGCTCTTAACAAGAGTTCATCAAAAATCTATCACGATTTAACAGTTACCCGTATTATTTAAAGGATTTGCTCCTGACAACAGGTGATGAAGTCATTTTACTAGTTTTAAAGCCGACGACGGAAAAAAGTAGCTTAAAGCATTTGCGTCTTGTACATCTAGCTGGCTAACATTAGCATCTTCTCATCTAACATTCGATACTTAATTTATTCACCCATTTTAATGTATTCACACATTCCCAATTTTAAGAATTATGTTTAAATTAAAAAAAAGAAAAATCATAAAGAATAACAAACGTCTTTTTAATCTAATTTCAGCTGGTCGGAATGGCATCAGACTGGATTGGTTGTCTTGTTTCAGTCCACTGTGGAGCAACACTAGGAGTGTATCAAGGAGAAGTATCTTCAGTAGATCAGACCAGCCAGACCATCTCTCTCAGACATCCCTTCCACAATGGAGTCAAGTGCACTGTTCCTGAGGTCACTTTCAGGTAAATAATAAAACCTATGCTTTGCCTGACATTGTATTTTTCTGTTTTTGATCCTTTATGAAGTTCAAAGATGTTTCTAGGGCAGGCAGCCTTGTCTCAGTGGACACAATTTATAACTGTATTAAACGAGCACACCTTTCTAATCTGTAGTGCCATGGACATTAAAGATCTCAAAATCCTTGAGATCCGTAAGAGCTTTGCTGAAGTCCCGAAGCAGAATGGTCCAGACTCCAATTCCACATTGACGCCGCATAGCGGACGCAAGGACAAGGGTGGTGGCGCTCTAGTCAACAGCGCTCCTGTGACGGTACCTAATAAAACTGAACCCAAATTGCAGGAAGGAGGACTGTCCCCAGTGCCACACTACTCCAAGAGTTACGGTGAACGTCACATGGACGTGGCTGGCCAAAGTAAAGGCTTTAGACGAAGACACAACTCCTGTGAGTCTCATCTGTCATTGGGTTTTGAAACAAATATTTCAGATTTTAACTCTCTGAAAAAGGTTTAAGCCAGTTATATCTTTTACTGTAGTGTGTCAGTAGAAAATATCAGTTTACATTTACTTTTTGCCGTTAATTATAATAAAGTAAGATTTTTATATACTCCACACGGAGATCTGATCTCACCATCATCGAGTCTGTCTGTGATTACATGAAGAAACAGAAAAAAACTGAGACTAAATCCAGAAGAACTGTGACAACTTCTCCAAGACGCTTGGAGAAACCTTCCTGCAAAGACACTTGAAAAACTATCTGCAAGTGTACCTGGACCCTGAAAAGCAAAACTATTGTATTAAATAACCGTATTGATGTATAATAATAACATTTTTAACATATTGATATTTTTGTTATTACAAAATAAAGATAGGGACTTAAATAAAACAATAACAAAACAGGGATTTTACTATTGTAATATTTTATTTATATTTAATTTATAATACAATTTTTACATTTACAAATTTAAAATTAAAATACTAATTATATATATATAATATGTATGTATATATGTATGTATGAATGAAAATGACTAATTCCCACTTTAACTTCTTTGTTTCTAGGGTCATCTAGTGGCAAAGGTCCAAATCAGGTCACACCAAAAAAGAACGGCCTGAAGAACGGAGGTCATATGAAAAACAAAGACGATGAATGTTTTGGAGACGGTATAGACGATGTTCTCGATGAGGACTTTGATTTTGAGGGGAACCTGGCGCTTTTCGACAAGGCTGCGGTGTTCTCGCAGATCGATTCGTCAGAACGGCGAGGCAATGGTGCGAGATCTCGAGGGACACCTGGAGAGCAAACACCATCACGATACCGGCATGACGAGAACATCCTGGAGGCCAAACCTGTCGTCTACAGACAGATCACAGTTCCACAGAATGGAACGAAAGAGTATAGCACTGGTACGAATCTAACCTCATGAACTATTAAATAATTTTGCTTACTGGTAATGCTAATTCATGCTATTTCTCTCAGACTCAGGGCTGGTGGTACCCAGCATCTCTTTCGAGTTGCACAAGCGTTTGTTAGCTGCAGCAGAAAGTCACGGTCTCTCACTGGAGCGCAGGCTTGAGATGACGGGCGTATGTGCGAGTCAGATGGCCCTCACGTTACTTGGAGGCCCGAACAGGTTTGTGGAGCTTAAACAGGAATTGCATTGTCAGAAATATCTCCAGAGAGTCTGTTTATCATTGGTGTGGTTCTTCTCGTAGACTTACTCCAAAAAATGTGCATCAACGGCCCACAGTGGCCCTGCTGTGTGGACCACATGTCCAGGGCGCTCAGGGCATCAGCTGTGGCCGTCACTTGGCCAACCATGAAGTGGAGGTCATCCTTTTCCTGCCAAATTTTGTCAAGATGTTGGAGGCCATCACCAGTGAGCTTGCACTTTTTGGGAAGACGGGAGGCAAAGTGGTTTCTAATGTGAAAGGTGTGGCACTGTTGTGTCTACATTTTATAATCATGCATGGTATAACATGTTGGTGTATATTAGGGATGTCATTTTACATACATTCCCCTAATCGAGCGTTGTTTAAATTAATGATCAATTAATCGGTTAATCTTAAATCCGAGGCAGGGGGGCTCTATTAATTTATAATGTTATATTTTAACAGGGATAATTAAGCATAAAAATAACTCAACAAATGTAGCTAGCTAATATGATTCATATTGTAATTAAATATATATATAAGTTTAAAGCTTTATTAATCCCCGTGGGGCAATTAGTTTGAACTGACATGGTGCCTGAAAACATGAAAACACTTAGCACATACATTCAATACATAAAGTAATAATAATAATAATATATATATATACATACATACATATAATATTATTTTAATATAATAATTATTTATTTTAAATATTATATTCAAATTATATTTTTTAAAAATATGAATGCAATGAAAATGTAGGTATTGGCGAGTAGTAAAAATGGAAGTATTGTCCTGGAAAAAGTGGTATCGTTGCATCCATTCAAAATAGTATAGAATTTAAATAGTCTATTTAATGGTTATCAGCCATACAATGGAAATAATATTTAGCTTAATGTATTATCCAGACTTTTAATTTCGGGCATCCTTAATCACATTAAAGAGCAGCATTGGGCTTTATCAACTAAATTAGAGACCCAAAACCCTCCCCTCATTTATACCATATCTGAGCATTTGTGATTGGATCACCAGTTTTTTTTTTTTACTCAAAGATCTGTTTCCATCAACACCCATTTGGTGCATGAAACCTTTAGCATGGTTTCTGTATCTCACATACGTTCCTAACACACCCACATGAATGCTTTGTTTAGATGGGCTTGGAGGTCTTGGAAACTTCCATACTGAATTGCAAAAACACATTTACTTTGCATCCACCCACCCTCCTTACATAATATACCAGAACACCTATGAAAGTCAATGAAGATGTTATTTAGATTTAGAGTCAAACTACAATAGTAACCTTTGGTCTAATCATCCACTCATTTAAAACAAATGTCATTTCACCCTCAGACTTGCCTGAGACGCCAGTTGACCTGGTCATAAACTGCCTGGACTCGCACGAAAACGGATTCTTGAGGGACCAGCCCTGGTACAAGGCCGCCGCCGACTGGGCCAACCAGAACAGAGCCCCCGTCCTGAGCATCGACCCTCCAGTAAGTGGACAGGCGCACGCCGTAGAAGCCAAATGGTCACTTTCTTTGGGTCTCCCACTTCCTCTATCCGAGGGCGCCGGCCGAGTCTACTTATGTGACATCGGCATTCCCCGACAGGTATTCCAAGAGGTGGGGATCAAATACCACTCCCCCTTTGGATGTAAATTCGTCATCCCGCTGCACTCCGAATAAGCCATTGACCTTCACGGTTAAGGCTCACTGAACCTGCCTTAAAGATTTAAAGAATGAACAGATGTCGGTTTGAATGTTGCAGCAGAACTGGAACTTCTCAGTCTCTCTTTTTTCTCAATTTCTTCTCTACTTCTGTGATGATTCCCATCAAAGGGAAGTGATGGAAAACGATACCAGCTCTTATGACAAACCTGATATGATAAAAGTGGAAGCAATATCAGTATACTCGCCACCGTCATATTCTTCATATTCTTACAGTAATCTTCCACACAGCCGCTTTAATATGCAAGGCTGATCTTTTTAGATAAACACTTTCATAACCCATTAATAAATTATGCAGATATTCCACACACACACAAAAAACCCATCAAAACTGGCTGAAACTTAATACAACTTAATTGGTCTTATGGCATGTTTGAATCTTATTTTGTTACTTTCAGCATCTCAAATAGAAGAATTTGCTTTTAGTTTACAGTCGGATGTGCTGATTTTGACCGCTTTCATATTTTCAGCGAAAAATGTGCATTAAATGAGGGTTTTGTCTTTTTTTTCCCTCCCTTTTTTTCTTTTTGTGCCAGATTGATTAAAGTCAGTGTTAAGGCACTGAGATTGAGGCAGTTTATTTGCTTGCAAAAATCTCGTTTCAAAGCGTTATTTGCTTTGTTGACCAAGCCCAGTGTGCTGTAAATATGTCAGATTGACTGGGTTCTTATCAGTGATAAAATGTTGCACACTTGAATGGTAAGGTAAGTGTACTAAAAAACTGTTTGTCAAATTGGTTGACTTTGGACCATTGCTGACCATTTTAAGCAGTCATTGGCCAATGTCACCAATTTTCTTATGCTTATATTCATTGCTGGCAGCTCTTTAGATCCTGTTTTAAATGGGTTTCAGATGGAGTCGGTATTGCTTGTTTGGTTATATCAAACCAGGGTCTTTTATTAAGAGAGAGGCTCAATGTGTTGCAATAAACCTGCTTGCTGAAATCGATTTGTGATTCTATAATAGGTTATATTATTGTGTGCACAAACCCATACAGAGCAGAAAGGTAAATGGGTAAATGAATTATGAAAGCACTGATAAAGACAAAGAGATTTTTGTGTGTACCTGCAGATTACCGTATGCCTTCAAAGTTAAAATAAGAGGCACTTACTATTCAGGATCCATATGTAACAATAATGAACTTAAAATTGTTTCACAAGTGACGCCAGTAATAACGTACTGCTTTCATAAGACTTATTTCTTTTTTTTCATCTGTTTAAGCTTTATTGGATTTGAATATTTTTGTTTCTTCCTTCTCCCACGTTTAATTTAGAGGATTTTTTTTTTCTCTGCTGCATGACTTTATTTTTGTTTTCTGTTATTGAAGCTATGTACAATCTAGGGGTGAAATCTTTAAAGTTGAACACTCCAGATGTCTAATTTTCTTGTCATAAGTGTTTAGGTAAACTAGAAACCTTACTCATCAGCTATTCTCATTCTTGAGAAAATTGAAAAATGTGAATTTTGACTTTCCTATTAGCTTTTCTGTTGATGTTTGTGTCTGTAAGGTCATTGGTGTGGCCTCTGATGGCTGATGGAGAGCCACTGGGCTCGCTGAAAGTAGCTTTTGAGCTTAAAAGCAAAAACTGGATGAAAAAAGGCAATTGTTGAAAGCATTAACACGTTAATGATGTTAAAAAGATTGCACTGTCCATGTTTTGAGAACACAGGAAAGGAAAGGTAAATCTTATAGTGGATGAATGCAGATAAGAGAACATATGTTTAATTATACAGCAGTTACTGATCAAATCCAGCACGACAAGCTTAAATTTGTGGCAAAAATCACTTGCTGGTTACTTGAGCTTAAAAAGTATTACTGCTGTACAGGTTTTTTTTATTCACTTGAATATTTGATGCCTTAGATGTATGTTAAAATGCAGTTTGATATAAATCATTCCTCTGTAGGAGTTTGCTTCTAAAAACTGTGACCAAATTCTGTTGAGCAATTTTGAAAACGTTTTGTGATGCTCATTTTTGTGGCTGGCTCCCCCACATTTGTCACAATGACATAATTGAATACGTTTCTGAAGGTTCCGAGAGGTTTTGTTCAGTATCAAAAGTTGAAAGCAACTTTCCATTCCTTTTTTTCCATTCTTATGCCATTTTCTTTACAAAAGCATGATATCAAGGTTGTTAGCATTGCATAATTTTATCATTTATATCTGCACCTGTTGTATAAGGCAACAATTCAGTAAACTGGTTTAGACAACAACATCATTACCATTAATTGTGAATTAGTGACTGTTGGGCATAATTCTGATATCACTGGAAACCTTACATGCTTAATACTGTCAACTTTGAAGTTTAAGGACTGAATAAATAAAGAGAATGGAGAAAAAACGCTGTATGGCTCTCGTTGTATTATTTGCATTTTCCATCTTACAGAACACCATGAAAATTACAATACGACCTACTTACTTGGGTAAAATAATTATCACAAGTGAATGTTTTATGGCTGCAATTCTCTTTAAAAGCGCGTGCTGTCGCTCCTGTCTCCGAATGCGAAAATACGAATCCTACCACGGAAAGGGCCTACATTATAAAAAATAGTTTGTAGAATTTAATGTTTTACTCTGTACAATGTAAGATCTGTTATGTGTTTTCCCCATTATGTGTTTGTATTTTGCTGTAAAATGTCATTATAAGCTTTTGTAAAAGTTGAATAAAAAAAAAAGGCCTACATTATGAATATTAATTAGGTCATGCTGACGGTCTTGGTAACCTTCTAGTTATGCAACCTCATTAATATTAACGATTATCTTAGTGCCGCTCGTTAATTCGCTAGGGGCTACCAACGTCTACCTTTCAGCCAATCACGTCTTGTCACGTGATTAATATTCACGAGGCAAGCCTTCACCGTAGTAGAATTCGCGCAGCGGTGCGGCGCATGCGCACTATTCCCGGGGCTGTCTGAAGAAGTGCGTTTCCTTTTCTAGGGCCTGTGTGTTAAAGACAGCTGAGGTCCTTGGGTGTGCTGCGCTTCCGTAACGCTTAAAAACTGCTCGCTTCAGGCGGCTTTCCGTTTATCGACTACTCTGGTCAGTAATACGCCGCTTCATTTGTGCTTTTTTGGCTTAACCGTTTGTTTACTTACACGCGCTGTTTGAAGCGCACACAACCGCCGCTGTCTCTTAACGGTTTTTGGGGGTGTATTTGTATGCACAGACGAGCCGATCATCTTTTGTCTGCCCTGCATTGATGTTGAGGAAAGCTCTCTGGAAGATCTGCTTCGCCGAATGTGTGAATGACCACGTCTGTATCTTCTGTTGATCAGAAGTTGACCCACACATGGACTAAGTGGACAAGCCTAAAACATCTCTAGCTAACTTTAAGGCATTTGGACACCAAGGGCTGATCATCATCTAGGGAACGCATAGGTAAGTTAACGTTTCAGTAATGTGTTTTATCACGCCCGTGTAATGGCTTGATCTTGACACCTTTCTGCTTGGCGTTTTTCTTGCAGCCCTCTGCATGTCTAAGAATGGGCGCATTGTGTTATTGAATCTGAATGCGATGGGTCTGTTTCACAGCTGTCTAAATAAGAGCCACTTGAGGCTGCTGCATGAGACAACGTGTCTTTGATGGTACATCGTGTTTATTTAATCATCTTAAATCATGTGTGGAAAAGGCATTATACAGCCTAGTTTGGTCGCCTGAATGCATTGGGTGCAGGATGGCATAATGGACTAATCCCAGTTTGAGATGCATTGTCTCCTTTCCAGTCCTGATTGGACCAGCAGTGCTGTTCCCCATCAGCATCATTCTGGGATTGTGATGTTGTCATGGTTCTTTGAATGTTTAATAGCAACATCTGAATGTGGGTCTGGTCTGTAAATAATTGAACTGGGGTTTTGGTTGCGGACGCTCATCATTTTTGAGCTGTTTGGAACCAAAACCTAGAATGTTTACATGATATTTAAACGAGACAAAAAAAAATTCCCATGGTAAAAGGGCAGTTATTCAAATCATAGCAGAAAGGCTTCAGTGTGTTTTGCCTTCATTAATATTAATGAGTTGGATTTATAAAGGTCGAAATCCAAAGGTCACTTCCTCCCTCTAAAGTGCAGATTTTAAAGGAACAGTTCCCCAAATAATGAAATGATCTCTCATGTGTTTTTTTCTTAAACTTTCATTTCTCCTTGTTAATTAAATCAAAAATAAAAATATTTAATTTCTCCCATAGTGAAAGTGAATGAGGACTGGCTATGTCGAAGTTATGACAAGTAAGAGTGTCATATAAACAGTTCATACATGCTCTGCACAATATCCAGTGGTCACCGATGAAGCTCTGAAATGGGCTTGAAAAATGATTCATACTTAAAAAAGTAGTGTGTGCCTTATTTACCAGGGTTAGCTAACTGTCTGAAACTAAAACTACACTCTAAGAAATGCTGGGGTGTTCAACCCATGTTTTTGCCAAATATGGGCAACCCTAACCATTGGTTTAATTTTTTTTTTTGGTTTGTCCATATTTGACTTAAACATAGGTTGAAAGAAAGTTAAGAAACCCAGGAAAAACATTTTCAAAACTTGAAATTTTTTATTTTATCTTCAGGTAGTTGCCAAGGTAAAATGTCTCATTTTCAGTTTGGTTTACTTGGATGTACTAAAATAACAATTAAAAAACGATATATATATATATATATATATATATATATATATACAAGAACACACAATGAAATTACTAAAACTTTAACTGAAATGAAAATAGAAAACATAAAAACTACTGCAAAACAAAATATTAATGAAACTAAAATAGAATCTCAATTTTTATACTAAAATAACAACTTTTTTTACTAGCAGTAGTGTCTAATAGTTTGTTTGTTTTTAACTATAAATAAATATATATGAAAACCTACATATATGCAAATTATGCATATATGCATGACAGCGGATCGGATGGGAATATTTTAAGTAATTGATGACTCAGATTTGAGTGCATAAGACTGCGAATATATAGTACTGAATATAGACTATTCTATGGTGCTTTTGTATCCTTTTTGTGTCTTGACAGCCCCAGTGACCATTTTACATTACATTTACATGTTTTAATAAATAACAGTTTTTTTTGTTTGTTTTTTTGACAGAACTGTTCTTTTAACTGTGCAGTCGTATGTCGCTCTTACCATCATCATATGTCAGTCTGTGTGTATATTGTACACGGTTTCTGCCCTCATTGGATAATTCTTCAGTGTTTAAAATCACATCAAGGATGTTAAATGCAGAGCCCCTCTTTGAAAAGCTTCAACTGCACTTCCTGTTTAGTTCCTTTAATTCACATCTGCAATAGCTCCTCAGTCAGGCTTCACTGCATCTTGTAGTCAGACAGACTTAAGGTCTTTTCTGTATTTCTGAACAACGGCTCTGTCATTTACAATGGGGTTTTCCCTGCTGCAAAACTGCAGTGCTTTTCACTTGCCTGTGTAACAGCTTGTGTGCGAGAACATTGCTTTTTTGCACATTTTGCCAACAGCATTCGTTTTTACAGGCATATGCTATTTCATCATTCTAATATACATCTCAGCACTTCCTTACAGAGTTGGAAACGTGATGCTGATATCGCTCATTACTGTCCTGATCTGTCAAATTTCTTTGCTGGGGCCAAACACTGTCCAGCTGCAACTGACTATAAATGTAGTCCATATAACTTCCAAGTCTTCTGTTTGACTATCCAACCTAAATTGAAGTCATTATAGATGTGTTTGGTTGTAGAGCTTATACTGTCACAGTGGCTTGTCGGTAGATGTAATTAAGCATCAAAGGGAGCTGTTGAGCAGCTCTGCCCAGAGGGGAGATAGTTAGCAGGGTCAAGCTGGTGTGAGACGCTCCCTGCCATGACGCTGGCTGGTGTGGAACTTAAAAGGCCTTGTGGTTAAAAGAACAGAAGGAAATAACTGGGAATGATTATGATGAAGGCTAATGATATACACCCAGTGTGACGCTCATTTTACTGCACTGAAGATTTAAAAAAAAAATTAGGCATGAAGGTCCACCTCTAAACCTGTCAATGGGGCGTCAGCAGATCATACGAAAAGATACAAATTGGATCGTACAAAATTAGCCACCAATTCACCAAAACTTTCCATTTGAGTGTGCTCTCACTTTTCTAAGTTATATATTTTTAAGGTTTAAGGAATAAAAAATAATATTTATATATTTTAGGAAATAATTTTAGTTTTTTAACCTAAAGCAAAATTCATGTTCTATCATGTTTCATATTTCAGAAGGAAAAGGATTATTCTCTCTGTATCAGCCCCTACACTGTGTTTCCCTGAGACTTTCATAGGAAGGCTTTATCTTCCATTGCAGAGGAATTTTGCACATGCATATTAATGATATGCATTTTTTGGTGATGAAGTATGAAGAACCTCCCATAACATCTTAGTGTTGTTGTTACTGTGTAATCGGATGTGGAAGTGATGATTATAACTAAAATAGCATGTACTAGAATAAGTAATAATGAGGGCACCCCTGTGCATGTCCCTGGTTATTTCAACTAAGCATAAATTATTTAAATGTGACGTGGGCTCTAATATGAAGGTATCTATACAACTAAAGTTCAATCTTTTTTAAATTTAGATGAGACAAAAGTGTGTGTGTGTGTGTGTGTGTACTCTTATCAGCTTCTAAAAGAATATTACAACATATGTATTGTTAGGTTATGTGCTTAATATATTTGTGGGGGGTGTGGTGAGGAGAATACCTGAGTTCAGAATCTCTCAACCTGTTGAATCTTGCCCCAGTGCACTGATAGTAAAAGTTAAGAAATTCACATTCCATAATGCTGCTTTTCTTCATCTTCCCACATACATTCAGCAGTACAATAACAATAAATGCCTTTACAAATAAGTACCAAGGTGGTGGAGCCTTGAATATGCACCAATGTATCAGCAGCTGATGTTTATTGGCTGAATTTACTTATTTATTTATTTATTTATTTTATTTATTTTCAATTTAAAACCATCTGCATATTGATATTGGTTGTTATAGTCTGAAAAAGGTAGATATAACAAAATGTTGGCTTATTAATTAACTGTGTGAAGGAAATGTCTTTTGTAGGTATGCTCCGATATGACAATTGTGGCCAATAACCGACAATTCTTTATATTTGAAAACCGATAACCGAAATCAAAATTTGTGGATAATTTGAGAGCCTGGTTACAAAAATATGTCTCACCATTAAAGTCATGACCCAAGCACACAATTATAATGTTTTCATCATGATTTTATGCATCCTTTGACTTGCACTGTACATGTTGTACTTAAATGTATTTCCCTTTTTTGAAATGATTCCATTAATACTTCAAGCAATTCAAAACCATCATGGCGAATAGTGCGTATCTGATGTGTCTCAGCTGAAGGAAATAATTTCAAAATAATCAAAAACAATATGGTGGCCGATATATTGTGCATTCCTAGTCTGTTGCATAATCCAATGTTTTTCTCTGGGTAAAATGATTAAATACTTGCTAAAATAAAATGAAATCTGTACAACATACAACAGGGTTTCGACAATACTGCCCAGACCCAGTGTGAACGACGCTCGGGACAATTGGCGGAACTTTCACTGTCCCAAACAGGCCAGTGCTGCATCTTCATGAAAGTTTATCCTTTGCACCTGTTTTTAAATATTCAAGTGCAAGAAGTCTCAATTGAGAACTTGCTGTGTGAGAAGTTTCGTGTGCGCACACACTCAAAGCTGCATTGTAGACGAACACAAATACTGATTTTTAGAGACGACTTATTCATACACTATCAAAAATGCCCAGTCTTGGAGGTTATCCTTGTTACATAGTCTGTTATATCTTACAGTCCCTCCAGAAAAACGCGATTATGCGATCGCTGAATTCAATGCAAAATCAGCCAAAGTCCGCATATTTATGCGGGGCCCGCATTTTTTCAAATACGCCGCACTTTCGCCTCATAAATTACCGATTTCCGTGCAAAATATGCGGGGTTTGCATAATTTCATAATCCTCGCATTTTCGTTGCAAAAAAAGTCACATGTATCTTAGCAGAAAGTTGAAAAATGTTGCGTTTGCTTCACACAAGAGCAGCCATTTCCCCCTGTTTCCATGGGAACGTTATGAAGTGACGCAATTACGCGACGCCAGACAGACTCACGGAGGCGATTGACATCTCACAAATCGAACTCGTATAACTGTCACACGTTCTACCGTCACATCGTTACTTAATAAACAACATAAGATAAAAGAAGTAGCATCAAACAGAAACAACCCGCACACATGGGGTGTTCGAGGCGCACATATAACACTGCAGAGAGTTCAACAGGAGCGCGCAGCTCTTAAAGGGGCCACACCTTATTTACACTCGTTACAGTCTGAAATAAAACAAGTTCCCAAGTTCCTGAAATTAA